TTAATGGGTCGCGTTTTTTTTACGTGTTTTTTGTTATTATTATTATTTTGTACATCGTTCTTTTTTTTTTTCTTTCGGTGCGTGCGTTTGTTTGTGCCCTTCACTCTGCGTCCGCGTTGCCGCTGTGTGTGCGTGGCACCCTGCACTACGCCGCCTGTGACGCCTGCCACGCTTCACGTGTTTTTCTTTGCTGCTGTTGCTGCCTTTGCTTCCGGGAGGATTCGTTACTGAACAGGCCAAGTCTGACGGTAAACGTGAGAAGCGGTGTGTGGTGTTTGCGCCTCATTTTGTTTTAGTTGGCACGCACTGCGGGTAGCGTGGTGTGGTTCTTTTTGTAAGGTGGCAGTGTGAGAGCACACACACACACATACCACTACGCCGTCGTAGACATCAAGCGGGCATGACGGTTGCAGTGGCGGGGATGATGATGGCGCTTGTAGCTGTCGTGTCCTGCGTGGGCGGCGGCGGTCTCACGCTGCCGGTGGCGGCTGTGCCCGGCATCCCGAGCGGCATACCGGCGGTCACCGGGGCGGGTGCCATGGATGCGTGCGCCGCGTACACGAGTTGCGCCGAGTGCGTGTTTGATGCCTCCGACGGCATTTTGAACCCCCCATTGGACTGCGCGTGGTGCGTCTCCACCCATCGCTGCATACGCTTCAACACCTCTGCCCTGCCGCCTTCCTCATCCTTGCCGCTGCTGCCTAGTCACGCTGCCACTGCGATGGCGGGGACCTGTCCGGATTTGCGTCACGCGAGACTCAACCCCACATGCCCAGACATGTCTTGCGCTGCGGCTAACACGACGAACAACATATACATTTGTCGCCCAATCACGATCCTGTGGATTACCTTGGCCTGCCTCTTGGGTCTCCTGGACGTCGCCTTCTACCTGTGGCTGCACGCGGTGCGGCAGCTGCCGTGGAAGTACGAGCCGCACCTGAGTCAGCTGCTCGCTGGGGCGCCACACGCGTTGGGGGGGCTGCAGGAGACAAACACGCAGGCGGGGACGGAGCAAGGGACCGACGCCACAACGGAGGTACCTATGGAGACGCAAGCGAAGCAAATTAACCATAATCCTGATAACAGGAATGGCAACGAGTGCCGGGATGAGCACAGTGCGGACGGTGAGAGTCACAATCAACAAAAGCAACAGCAGCAGCAACAGCAGCAGCAGCGTGTGCCTAGTAATTGTCCCATTTGTAAGATGACTCAACCGGCTCCGCCTTCACCAGGGGATGTGTGCTTCTGGTGCAATATAGCGCGTTTTGGGTTTGTTCCCCTCTTTATCGGCATTTCCAGCGCCGTGCTGGGATTTATACTGCTTTTCTGCGTGTCGCTAAAACCGTGGTTTGCGGATGGCTTTTACATTTACCTTATTCTCAGCGCCTACGTTTCGTACGCTATTTTCGGGGCCCACGTGTACTTTGGGCGTACGCCGCAGCTTCAGCCGCAGGCGGTACGCGAGACGCTTTACGTGCAACTTGCCATCCGCCTGCTTGGCCGCCCTCTTCTCTCGGTGATACCCGCACTGTCGGAGGGGGAGGCAGCCTCGCCCGTGTTGCTGAGGGCCTCTTCACTGTCGCCTTCCACACAATCACCCCACGGCGGGGGAGGCGCAGGCACGCTTGTGCTGGAGGGCAACACACTTTCCCCTGAGCTGGTGCGGCAGAAGAAGGGAGAGACGGCGCAGCTGCTTAACATGGAAGGCTTGGAGCAGGGGTTTCGCAAGGTGCTGCTCCAGACGCTGGCCAGAGACGAGTACGTTCTCTGGTGCGAAAAGCCGGAGGTGTCGAGTATAATCTTCAACGATCTGTGGCTCTACATTGACCTCTCAGCAGGCGTAGCCTTTGGCATCTGGCTGGCGGTGGCGTCCAGCGTGAAGGACCCAACCTACGTGCTTGTGCGACTTTTTGGCTCCACCACAATGGGTGTCTTGGGTTTTCTGCTGATTGTGGCGTTTACCTTGCTGCTTACGATGACGCTAAGCAGCAGCATCCGCCTGTACGCCCTCACGGATCGGCGGCTTCTGACGGTGTTTAACGGCCTCATCAGCCCCACGGTGGCGGAGACGGAGCTGAAGAGTCTGCGCTTTGCCTCTGTCTACGGCTACAAGTTCTTCGGCAACACCCCGGTGCTGACCTTCTCCTGGGAGGTGCCCCTGACGGAGCGGAAGATGCCCCCGATTAAGAGCCACAACTTCCCCGCCGTCCTCCACCTGGAGGAGTTCTTGAAGTACTTCAAGGCTGTCGCCCCTACGTTTACGCCCATCAACAATCAAAGTCATCAAAGCATGCAGCACAAGCGACAGGCGTGGCGGATGCATCTCTTCTTTGCCATTGTGTTGCTGCATTTCCTCCCCATTATCACTCTCTACCCGCTCTTTCTACCTGGCTTTCTCTCGTTTCTGTTGTTTATCATTTTTGGCTTTGTCGTCCTGGCGATAGTGCATCGCGGGGTGCAGGTGCAGCGCATGACGCATGCGTCGCTGAGTCTGGCGGGAAATTGGTCCCCCGCCGGCGCGCAATTCTGTAGGCGCGAGAGAGGCCTTTTCCAATTTTTCCGTGATGACAACTCCCTAATTCTGCGCTCAAAGGCCCGCGCCAGCACCGTCACATCCACGTGAGGCACAACCCCTCGCATAGCGGCGGCCGCCTGCTCCTCGCACCCAACATTAAGACCGCTCAAAAGGAGAGTTGCATGACGCAGGAGGTGGGGACGGTGGGGACGGGGGAGAGAAGAAAGGGAGAGCGAGACGGCGATAGAAACGGGGGATAACTCTCTCTCCCTCACACACACACACAACACAAAAAGAAACAAAAAAAATTGAAGTGGAAATGTAGAGAAGACGAAGCGGTAGAGTCGCGAAATGTACGCAGGCAGGATAAGCATGTGCGCGTGGGAGTGTGTGGGTGCGGTGTCTGATTGCAATGAATGAGACATTTTTTGACGCGGTGGAGGAGGGGGTGGATGGCGTGGGTTTTTGTATGGATGCAAGTGCGATTTCTTACCCCTTTTGGCTGAATGCGGTGTTGTAAATGTGACTGGAAACAAAATAATAATAAAAAACAAATTGGCTTGTTGGCAGAGGCCACCCCGAACACCATTGTCTTCTCCACCTTTTTCCGTGCCCCTTCTCACGGCACCACGGTGGAAGGAAAAAAAAAAGGAAAGGAAGGAAAGGAAGAGGCGCCGGACGTCCTGCATTGGGCTTCTGGACAACATTTTTGGTTCCTACGTTCGTGTGCGTGTGTGCGTGCGTGTGGCTGTTTGCTTCACACAGCTGGGTCCCAATGAGGCGTTTCGCTCATCACGGTGGTCGTCGGACATGTCCCGCCTGCGGTGGTTGCCGCAAAGCGGGCACATTGACGGGCCCAGCGTTGAATTGCTGGCGTCGGGCGTCACGTGCGCCGCTGCTCACGGTGCATTCTTCATATGCGTTGATGACACTGCACAACGGTGCCCACGCAGCGCAGCAGGCTGGCACCGCTGAGCAGACCAGCGAAACACCCGCAAAGGCGGTGCCACTCTCCTCCTCCACCTCTTCTTCCTCCGTCCGTAATCCGTATTCGCTTGCCGCCGGTGACGCTAGCCACGCCACGCATACGGATGCTTCCGCTTCGGCACCGGCATCCTTCGCAGGTGAGGCGCGAGAGCTGCAGTTCCATGAAATTTTTCTGTTTGATGAGACCGACGTGCACTTTTTGCTGCTGACAGAGGCACACAAGAAGCACGGTGTGCTGCTCAATGTGCCGCCGCAGATGAGCCCAAGTGGGGAGTCGCCTGCAGTGCCGGAGGTGGTGCTGCCGGCCGCGCAGCTGGAGCGGATGCGTGGGATGAAGCTGGCGTACGAGCCCACGCACCTGCCCCCACCGCTTCACACCACCGGCACCAGACAACTTGTTATTTGCGACGCCTTCCCCACTGTGGCGACAGTCGTTGCAATGAAGCCCACAGCTACGTCAGCACATGCAGCGACGACACGCGGCACTGCAGGAAAGGGCGGGACAAGCACCGCCACACTAGTGCGGCGTTTACCGCCGGATCCAACGATGCGGTTTCACTGCACCGCCTGCGGGAAGGCGTTTCGTCTGGAGTTCTCTGCGGAGCATCATGTCAGGTCAAAGCATCCAGCGGAGTCAAGGGCGGTGGTAGCGGCAGGGCCGGGTGAGGGTGAAGTCATAGAGGAGGCCGCAGCAACAATCGTGACCTCCGCCGCCGCCGTTAGCCCCGTAGCGGAGACAAAGTCTACAGTGATGGGTGCGGTGGAAAAGGGGGGAACGACGGCTAGCGACATTGCAGCCGCGGGGAGTGTGGGAACGGCGTCTGGTGTGAGCATCAGCGCGGTGAAGACTCCGTACAGCAGGGCGGTGTTAACTCTGCCGAGTGAGGAGCTTGTGGACGAGCTCCTGAAGGAGGTCTGGGACGCCGTCGCCCAACACCGCGACGATCTCCCCAAGCAAAATGACCCCAACGCATATGTGCCTTTCCACACCGTCGTGGAAGGCACGGCAGACCGCCGGAAGGAAATGGAGGCCAATGCAAAGCCCACGGCACGCGCCACTCCGGAGGGCGCCGCTCCAGGCATCAAAAAACAGGGCATGCTGTCCGGCGGCTCCATGACCGCCCTACGGAGCGCCGCGGCGGGGCTCAACCTGCCGATAAAGGAACTTGTGAAAAAGTACCCGAATCCCTTTGGCGACTCCCCCAATGCGGTTCTGCAGGAACTTGAAAAGGAACCCATCAATCCGTTCATCCCGCAGGAGGAACTTGCAGCACAGTTGCAGGTGGCGCGAGAGACGCAGCCACTGACGGCCACAGCCACCGCTGAGACCAATTCTGATGCCGCCGCAGCTGTTGGCGATGGGGAGGAGGAATTAAAGAAACGACTGCGTGTGTCACGCCCGAGTTTAGCACGATCGGCATCAATGCGCCGCTTCGTCTGCCCTCTTTGTGCGGAAGTGCAACGAAAGAAGGCGGGGGCGTGCGGTGAGATGGCGGTTCCGTCGTTTCGATTGCTGGACGCCCTCCTTGACCACGTGGAGTCCGCGCACGAGGGGGAGGAGCTTACGGAGGCGCAGCTGCACGTGTTGTACGCAATCCAGCGGAGGTCGGCGCTGCATGCCCCTCCGCCGAGCCTCGATGGTGAAGCCGGCGGCGCTGGCGGGACCGCCGGCAATTTCGGCGCTGATGTCCTCAGGGGCGATGACGCCAGTGGCAGTGGCAGTGAGGAAACCATCCACGACTTGAAGATAGCATCGCTGCCGGAGACGTTGCAGAAGGCCGCCCCACCCGCAGCCGTCGAGCACCAAGCACTTCAGGTGCACCTGCGTGCTGGCAGTAACACGGTGCTGCTGGGTCGTATAGCGGATGTGCAACACGGATTTCTTGGCACGATGGCGGTGACACAGTACGTGTTGGAGGTTGAAGAAGAAGGACCCGCTGCTGACGCGGGGGCGGAAGGCACGGCATCGTTGCCAGCGACTGAGTCGGAGCTGATTGTTGTCCGCTGCATGGGGGATAACTTCCCTGCCGCACTGCTCAAGGAGCAGGTGCGTTTGGGCAGCACTGTGCTTGTGCAGGGGACACTTCGCATGAACCGGCACCTCGACAACGCCTCCAAGCGAATTCACGCGTATCCGTTTGTGCAGGTGGTGCCGCCGCTTGGCTGTGTGAAGGTGGTTGCATGAGGTAAAAATGCCTCGTGGGTACGTTTGCGGAGTGGCGATGAGGTGAGGCGAAAACAAAAGGAAATTATTTGAAAATGGACCATCCTAAAAGAAGGAGAGGAAGCGCGAGCACGCGTCAACGTCGTCGTTCGTTGGTCGTGGCGTGGTGGTGGTGGTGGTGGTGGTGGTGGAATGCCCACCTCGTGCCTGCTTGTGGAGTTAAATGTTTTTGCTTTTCGAAGGTAACGGGGGGCACGAGGTGTAGGAAACTTTTGTTGCGGGCGTGCACTGCGCCCACGCATGCACAGGAGCTACATGAAAGACAGTACTCGGGATTTACGGCAGCAGCAACTGCTGCTGCTGCTGCTGCTGCTGCGTCGGCTCATTTCTTAGAAACGCATCGGCTTCTACTGACACGCTTCCTTCCTTCTCTCTTTTTGCGCTTGTGCCCAAACACTTGCTGCTTCCAAATGTGAAACGCATCTGCGTGGGGAAGAGGGGTGCATTGATAGATCCAGCGCAAGGAGCAACAAAAGCAGAAGAGAGAGAGATAGAAAAAAATACACAGAAGAAAAGGAGGAAATCAAGGCGTATGTCAGGACTGTCGCTAGCGCAGGTTCGCCTGCGTGAGGAGCGTAAGGCATGGCGAAAGGACCGCCCGTTTGGCTTCTGGGCGCGACCACGTGAGATTCCATCGCCAGCGCCGGGTTCCTTTCTCGTCTCGGCTCATGTCGCACCCAAAGCGGCGCCGCTCACGTCTTCCTCCACGACGGCAGGCAGCTCAGCACCGGCGAACACGGGCACCACCGACGCGCCTGTGTCTACAGGTGGCAGCAGCAGCCACGGTGCGAAGGCCCCGGCTGCGTCCGCAGGAGCGGCGGCGGGAGCAGGCGGTGGCTTGGACCTCCTCGAGTGGGAGGCGGGGATTCCCGGCAAACCCGGCACCCCATTCGAGGGCGGCGAATTCCGTCTCCTGCTGCACTTCACGGAGGACTACCCTACGAAGCCGCCCAAGTGTGTCTTCACCCCGGTGCTGTTTCACCCCAACGTGTACCCGAGCGGCACCGTCTGCCTCTCCATCCTGAACGAGGAGAAGGACTGGCGGCCCAGCATCACCATCAAGCAGATTCTCCTTGCCATTCAGGAGCTGCTCGACAACCCAAACATTAAGGACCCGGCGCAGGAGGAGCCGTACAAGGTGTACATGCGGGACCGAAAGGAGTACGAGGATCGCGTTCGCCAGGAGGTGGCAAAGCACCACCAGAAGCGCGTGCTTTAAAAATGGAAGGGGCGAAGAAGAAGACGAGGACGAAAACGCAAATAATAATAATAATAATAATAAAACAACAACACAAAAAACGAAAGATATGGAGGAGGAGAACAAAGTCTTGGAAAGAAGAGAAAGGGTTGTCTTCCACAGAAGATGATGAATGCGTGGCGAAAGGGAATGCGGAGGTTTGCGCTGGAGTTCACAGCTGCTTCCATCTTTTTAGCGGAGGGGTGGGCGGGGACGTTGTGAGCGCCATCCACACGGCGAGAGAGAAAAACAAAAACAACAACATACGTACATACAGCCACACCCACACAGAAGCCGTAGAAGAAAGCGGGGCGAGAATGGCTTCATGCAGGTACATAACGCTGAGCTGAGTTTTTCCGTGCTATTCGCGTTTGCTTTTTTTATTATTATTTTTTTTTTTTTCTCCCTGTGCTATTTATTACCCGATGCGAGTAAGGTGTGTGAGAGAGAAAGACCACATGAGGAGGGGCGTCGGTAAGCGGAGGTTTTGAGGCCTCTTTGTAACCCCCTCCCTCCCTCCCTCCCCTCCGTCATTATTGTTATTATTATTATTATTCTTATTTTGAATGCTTACGGGTTTCTCCCCTCCTCCTTCCCCGAGGACACCAAAAACAGGGTATATATTGAGGTACTGCTCTTCCTTCCTTATTGTGCGCGCCCCTTCTTTTGTTTCTCTCTTTCATGCAGTCGGCGGTGTGCGTGTCGCAGGTAGGAGGGTACAGGGCGGAAATGGGCCGTGCCTCGAAGGACAAGCGGGACATCTACTACCGCAAGGCAAAGGAAGAGGGCTACCGTGCAAGGAGTGCGTATAAGCTGCTGCAGTTGCACGAGGAGTTTGACATTTTGCATCGAGACAAAATTTGCACAGGCGTCGTGGATTTGTGTGCGGCACCGGGCAGCTGGTCTCAGGTGCTGGCGCGACACCTGCGCGAGGACGTGCGTGAGACAACCGGGCAGCCGTCCGCAGGTGCTGCACGCATCGTTGCCGTTGACCTGCAGGAGATGATGCCGATTGAGGGGGTGAAGCTGCTGCAGGGCGACATCACAAGTGAAGTCACCGCACGGGAAATTATCCGGCTTCTCAACGGCAACGACGAAGTGGAGGGCGAGGCCGCAGGCGCGGCGACAGAGGAGGGCGCCGGCTCCACGGTGTGTGGCTGTGAGAAGAAGGCGGATCTTGTCGTCTGCGATGGGGCTCCGGACGTGACGGGGATGCATGAGTTGGACGAGTACCTGCAGCACCATTTACTGCTGGCGGCGCTGAATATCACGACGTTTGTGCTGCGTCGTGGGGGGACGTTTGTCACTAAAATGTTTCGTGGCCCCAACACGCCTTTCCTGGTGGCAAAGTCCGAGGTGTTCTTTCGGCATGTCATGATTGCGAAGCCAAAGTCCTCGCGCAACGCCTCGATGGAGGCATTCATGGTGTGCCAGGACTACCAGCCCCCTGCCGCCTATCGCCCCTCCTTCGATCGCCCCCTCACGACGACCACGCGGTGCTTTACGCCTGCTGCCCCACCGCCACCGGCCCTCACGCTCCAGCAACGGGAGGTGCAGCAAGAGACGACGGAGCAGCATGCGTACGAGACATTTATGATGGATAGCGTCATTGTGCCCTTCTTGGCCTGCGGAGATCTCTCCGGCTATGATGCGGACATGTGCTACGATCGGGAGGCTGACGCGCCGGTGTTGCCGCCAGTGCACCCGCCGGTGCAGGCGCCGTACTTGACGACCGGTGGCGCCAACAACGACGGCGGCTGCGGGGAGACACACAGCTGTGGGACTTCTGCGCTGAAGCGCCAACGTCCGGAGTGAGCGTGGTGCGGGAGAGCGGCACGAGGCGTGGGTGGGGGCGGGCGAGTAAGAGAGAGGGAGAGGGAGAGGAAGAGATAAAAGGTGGGGGTGGGTGAGAAGTGTCTCATGTGTGGGCCGCGTAACAGACCATTTGCCAGGGATGGACCACACGCAAACACAGAAAGAAGCCAACAACGGTGGAAGTGTAACGTGTGAGTGTGTACATGCCCCACAGTGCTGGGTGGGTGCAGTCAAGGCAATGATATATATAATATAATATATGGATGCACCTCGCTCACGCGCTATTTTGTCCTTTCTGTTTCTCTTTCGCTCTACACGCAAGTAAATACATCTATATTACATGTCCATCTATGTGCCTCTGTGCGTGCATGCGTGAATTGCCTGCTGCTCTTCCGTGCACACATTTGTGGCATTGCGCCCTCTCACTCCTTCCCTGACGCCTTCTTGCCGCCTGCGTGAAACCACCACGCTGCACATTTTCATCATCGTCGCTGCTGCTGCGCTCAGGAAATACAACAAAAAAGAAAAAAAAAGCAGCAGAGCAGCGTACAACAACACCAGACAGACATACAGGCAGACGAGCAAAGAAGGAGGGAAGGGGAAAGGCTAAGACAAAAAAAAAAGAAAGTGACTTCCTCATGGCCACTGCCTTTACCGCCACATTAGCCCCAACAAAGGAGGCGGTGGGTAGCCCGTTGGAGCTGCTGTTAGAAAACGCTGAGGATCTCCTCGCGGACGGCAAGCGTGCTGAGGCGCGTCGTGTGCTGGAGGGCATTGTCAACACTGATGTGGCTGCCGACGATGCGGAGGGGATACGCGTGAAGGAGCGCTCGGTGTACCGCATGGCGGATATTCTTAGCCTTGAGCGGCAGGTAGACGCCCTGGTGCACCTGCTATGCGTCATCCGCCCCTTCTTTGCGCTGCTGCCAAAGGCAAAGACGACTCGGATGGTGCGAAAGTTGTTTGATCTCATCCTCAGCAGTGGTGCCTCTTTGGATCGACAGATTGAGGTCTGCCATGACATGATTGCGTGGGCGCGGCAGGAGAAGCGGACGTTCCTGCGGCAGCGGCTGCAGCACCGGCTTGCGGAGGTGCAGTTTGCCAGGAATGAGCGGCAGGAGTCGCTCGCCACGTTGCAGGCCCTGCTGCGAGAGGTGCGTCCCCTGGACGACCGTGCGCTGCTGCTTGACATTCACCTGCTGGAGAGCCGTATTTATTACTCCATTCAGCACACTAGCAAGGCACGCGCTGCCCTTGTCGCGGCCCGGACGAACGCTAACAGCATCTACTGCCCACCACTGGCCCAAGCGGAGATCGATCTGCAGAGCGGTGTACTGCATGCGGAGGAGCACGACGCCAAGACGGCGTTTTCGTACCTTTACGAGGCGTTTGAGGGGTTCCATCAGCTTGGCGACCAGGCCCGCCAGGCTCGTAAGGCGCTGCACTACATGATTCTTGCGAAGATTGCTACAAATAGCCCAGACGAGCTCTTCGCGCTGCTGTCCTCCAAAAATGTGCTGGAGTACCGGGGACAGGACATGGACGCGTTGCGCGGGGTGGCCGAGGCCTACAACAAGCAAGACACCCACCTTTTCAATCGCATTATACGCGAGAACGAGGGTGCAGCCTTCCTTGCCGACGAGATCCTGCAGAGAAGACTCACCGTAATGTATAACAGCCTTCTTGAGCGTCACCTGCTCAAGCTGTTAGAGCCGTACAGTCGGGTGCAGATCTCCTACCTGGCCGCACTGTTGCGGCTCGACGTGGAGGCGGTGGAGTCACAGGTATCCCAGCTCATTCTCGACAAGAAGCTCGCTGGCATCGTGGACCAGCAGCACCAGTGCGTCGTCATCTTTGACGAGCAAGACGCGAAGGTAGCGAGTAAGCGCCGGCAGGAGGAGGAGACGGGGAGGGGAGAAGGCGGGGAGGTGGGTTCTTCCTCGGCTGCGGGCGGGGCGCCCTACAAGGATGCCATGACCACCTCCGGCGCCGGCAGCGAGAAGCCCACCACGACGTTGTACCAGGACGCACTAGCCGCCCTGGAAAAGTATGATCGCCTTGTCACTGCGCTCTTTGATAAGGCGGGCGGTAAGTTTGATGCTCTGGTGGAGGAGAACATGAAAAAGCGACAGGAGACGAAAACAGACAAGAAGAAGGACGGTAAAAAGGGCGATGAAAAGGAGGAGGCAGAGAATAAAAAGAAAAATAACAGTTAGCAGGAGGCATAGATGCATATATGTGGGCGCAGCGATGGAAAGAGAAGGAACGAGTGTGCGTCTGTGAGAGGGAGAGAGCTGCGTGGTCGTTTTTTGTTTTTGTTTTTGTTTTTGTTTTTTTTTGTCCTTGCTTTTCGTATTTGCATTGCCAAGGCATATCATGAGGCATCATCTGTAGTCATGAGTGCCCATTAGACGACTGTCCCTCCTGCGCTGCAGCTTGTTTGTTGTTTGTTGTCTGTTTTTTTTTTTTTGTCGGGTGCGTTGCTGTCGTTTTCACTGGACGGGAGCGGCGACGGTGAAAGACCAACAAAAAGACCCCATCGGCACCGAAAAGACGGTGGCTGCGTGGGGACATGGCGTCTCCGGTGGTGATATCGGAGGAGGAGGCGGAGGCGGTGATTATGAGCGGCGAGGCGCTGCTACAGCTTGCGTCCCGCCTGAACGGCGAGGACAGGAGCGGGGCGCCGTTTGTGACGCTGGAGGACGGTGCCGGGTTTATGGAGCTGCTGCGGGAGGTGGTTGCGCACCACGCCGCAGGTCTGCCAGACGGCGGACACGCCCGCAACGAACGACAGGAGCGGGCAGTGGCGAACGAAGGGCGAGGTACGCTCGCAGCCCACCCGCAGCAGAGCAATCTGTTGGCGTTACGCCGTGTCGTATTTGAGCTTCAGCCCGGGCTGCTGGCGACGGTGTTGTCGATTCTGCACGCACCGCACATGATGACTGACGGGGACGCGGTCTGCTGCCTCTTCCGCGGCGCCCTGCATCTGCTGCAGACGGTGGTGCTCGCGTGTTGCACTTCGCCCGAGCGATTTGTGCAGCTGCGGCCGGACGCGTCGGCCTCGCTGGAGGCGCTTGAGCTCTTCGAGACCTGCACGGATCTTCTACACCGCCTTGGCGCTATAGACATCGTTTTGGAATTGTTGTACGACCACTTTCCCCCGACAGTGCGCCTGGCAGCGGCGCAGCTGCTTTTCATCATGCTTTTGCGGGACGGTGGCACCGCGTCGCAGGCCGCAGACTCCTACACGCGTGATGTCCTCAGCAGCCCGGAGCATCTTGGCATCCTCCTGACGGCGCTGACCGCCACCGACGCGTACACCAATGCCGCAGCAATGTATGCATCCGTCGGTGGTGTTCAGAAGAGCGGTCCGGGGGTGCAGGAGACATGGTTGTCGCACAGAACAGCATTCAATGAAGTGGGAGGGGACGCCGCGACAGCCGCGACGTTGCCAGAGTTGTGCCTGACGGTACGGCTTCACATCGCGGCGTGTGTACGGGAGCTCGCCAACACGCACTACGCACATTTTACAGGTGACGAGGTCCTTGACGTCTTGCTGCGAATTAGCGATACGGATTTCAGTGGTGATTTACGTGCCTTGTGCATAGAGACGATGCATGTTATAGTGCGCAGCTGCTCACCCTTGCAGTGGACGGCGGTGCGGTTGAAAAAGGAGCTAACGACACTGTGCTTCACGCAACTTGGGCGTGAGTGCTACCACGACGCCTTGCGTGCCACGCTGTGTCTTCTTGAAGCCCTCATATTGAAGGATGCGTGCAGCAGCTCTGCGGGAGAGGCCTTTTGCAGGGATGCCGGGGGCGACAAACATGACCAGGTCTCTGTCTGCGAGTTGCTGCTGGCGTTGTTTGCGGACCGGGCGTTGGCGGCCCTTATCGGCGATGCCGTCGCTCTGTCTGGCAGCAGCCGCAGGACGAAGACCTCCTCAGGTAGAAGGCACACAAGCAAGAGTCGTCAACCTCACCAGCGGGATCAAATCTGCGTCTCACTGCAGGAGCGACAGCAGGGCCGAGCTGCAAGCACAATTGCACATGAAACTTTTTTCACGGGGACGACAGTTGCCTGCCTTTCCGCACGCTGTCTACGGTTGCTTGTGCAGCATGCCCCGTACTACCGCAATGGAGCCTTTTACCTTGTGCAGCATCTCCCCTCCTTCTCACAGCTGCTAGAGGCGAGTGTGCAGATGGCGACGTTCCTTGACGGAGGGCACCAATGCGATGACGCTTTGAGCCGTGGTGGGTGTGAGCGTGGCCGCGGCGGTAACGCTCCTACGAAGGGTGATGGCAAGGGCGTGGACGAGGCGTCCCTAATGCTGGCGGTGGAGCTGGCGATTCTGGTGGGACTATGCTTCGCTCAGGACCCGCGGGCGCGTCAGCTGGTCGCCGCTGAGTTTTGCCGTCACCATGTGGAGGCGCAACAGACACGGTCGGCGCTAATCTCCAACCTGAATCTTGTTTCCCTATCGTACTTTGCTGCGGCGCACGGCAGTTGCGACGTGGAAGCAATTCGGGACGTCACTGGGAGGCGGCTCAACACGCTGGGGGCTGTGACGTGGGACACGCCAGACTGTCCCTCGCGGGCCGCCGTGCACCGCCTTTTCACCTCCCAGGAGTCGCGGTGGAACAATGAGGAGATGCAACACGCATCCTCCTTCCCATCACTCTCAACTCCTGACATACGTGACGCAAGGTGTTTCGCCGATGCCGGGAATGGGCTGCACGGACATGCAAACGTGGCTGAAGCGGACAGCCCCGGCATGGGGGTAGAGGAGAGGTGGAAGGGGGAGGAGGAGGAGGTGGTGCCTGCGTTACCGCAGGCCTCCGACATGCAGCGCCTGCGGCGTCTCACATTTATTGTGCTTAGCTACGCCATTCACTACACCTTTAAGTTTTCCACCACTGGCGTGGCTGCTGCCGCACTGCGTGGCACTACCGACGATAACCTGCGTGAAGGGTTCGCCCCCGCTGTTGCGGGGCGTGAGGCCCGCGTGAGCAAAGGTTCCCGCTACTACGACACGTACATGTTGGATGCGAGCAAACGAGGCTCTACGCGGGAGGAGTCCAAGGGGCCGAGGACACCTGTAGAAACTTCGTTTCTTTCTTCTTTGCAAGGAGATCACCCCCGGCGGGGACGCGGGCGCCGCACATCCTCCGCTGAAGCGACAGGCACAGGCGTCGTGAATGACGGTGTCATGAGTGCGCCTGAGAGCCCGGCGGCCGAGTCGACCGCGGAGGAGGCGCTGCTGCTTCTCCGCTTTCACCGCGGCCTGCGCCTTTTCTGTGACCTCGCCCAGTTTTACACCCCGCACCCGACGTCCCTGCTGAGCCGCACCGCCGTGTATCAGGCGACGGAGGAGAAGGGCATGGTGCGACGCCAGGGCCGGCGCGAGGCTCAGCGTACCATCTCGAAAATCCTGCAGGAGGCGGAGAACACCACATCGCCTTCACAGCGGCCACAATTACAACATGCAACGCGACCGAGGCGGGGGCATGCTCCAAATCTCGGTCTACTGGGCATCAATACACGCACGTGGTCCATAGACGAGCTGCAGGAGGAGGATTTGTTTTACTTTTGCATTCCGTACCCGCAACTCGCAACAGAGTCCCTGCAGTACACACGGCGTCGGGCCGTGGCACACGGCCAGCACTTAAAAAAACAGTTTTCCATCACTCCACAGGCCGCCAAGGCTCGGCGGTGGCTGCTGCACGACGCCATTGCCAACATCATGCCGGGCGTCGTGCATGCACTCTCGCAGTTCATTCAGTGGTTTGACACCTACAATGCAGATGCCGTGAAGCTGCCGCTGCTCATCTACTTTGTCGATGATGAGGCGCGTGGGGGCGGCGGTGCGGAGAGCAGCCACACAGGTGAGCATCACAAACCTCCAGTGCACTGGCGTGGCGAGGACGCGCAGCTCTCCGGCGGGGCAAAACAGCGAGGTGGCGGTGGCAGCGGCAGAAAGGGGGTTGCAGCGTCGTCCCCCGCGTCTCTGCCGCAGCCGGCAGAAGTGGCTCTGCACGCGGGCAATCTCATTCCAATGCAGCAGCAGATTGCCTTTTACTTTCAGCGCCGGGATCAATGGCCGCCACCCGAAGGCAGAGATGCGCAGTCGCAGGAGGGTTCGGCGTCCGTTGCCGCACCGACGCAAGGAGGCATGCTTGACAGGGCGTGCGCGTCCCCGCCCCCGTCAGTGGTGCAGGGCGATGCAAGAGGGGTGGTCACTCCAATAGGAGGCTTCACCAGCGCCGGCCCTCTGTCGCCGACGGCGCGGAAGTCAGTGTTGATGCGCGACATTGAGCGGGAGATTGAGCGGCTACAGAAGTTGGATATCTGTGGCATGGCAGGCAACCTCGAACTTGCGGGGGCTTCGCTTTTACCAGACATGGCTGTGAGCCCGTACGGAGACATGTTTACCCCCCACATAGCAGGAGTCATGGGTGGTCTTGGCCGACGTGACGATGATGACGATGACGCCGATGTGGAGGAGGAATCGGATGACTTTGATGAGCTGACCGCAATGAAGAAGGTGAATCACGCCTGGGTGACAGGTCACGGTGACGCTGAAAAGACGTATGACACCACTATGTAGTTATTTATGACCCTTTTTTTTTGTTTTCTTTCTTTCCGCATGCATCTTATGTAACGAGGTGCGGTAGACAATTTGTGTTGATGATGCGTGAGGGCTGTAACGGTATCGTTTATTACTAATGCTGAGGAATGTTTACTCCTGCCATGATGAAGTACAGTTGTGGACTGAGTGACAACGACGTGTGTGGGGTGGGGTGGGGGGAGGGGGAGGACTTGTGTGGTTCGTGTCTCGGCGCGTTTGTATCCACGCGTGTAGATGCATAGATAAGGAGGGGGGAGAAGGAATGAGAGACCGCGTGACGAGGGGCGGTGTGTGCATGCTGCGTGGTTGTGTGTCTACTGCCCCCCTATTTTCTTTTTTTTTTCTTTTCTTTTATTTTTTTCTCTTACATTTCTCCCTGGCCTCCACCTTCGCTCCCTCTGGTGTGTGTCTGCCGCACACTGCATGACGTGCGTGAGTGGAGCGCGTGTGCCGAGCCAAGCCCGGGGGCGCGGTCTTCTAGCGCATATATTTACACAGGGCCGCCCACTCCTTCCACACACACACACACACAGCAGTAGAGTACCAGCCGCCATGGGGGATTCGGTTTGCAGCAACCGAGGTAGTGCATCAAACATCCATGCGCGGGACACGGCGCAGCGGCAGGAGGTCAAAAACAGCCTTGACAGGCTCCAGACCACGGCAAATAACAAGGACAACAACGCCACTCAGGATTTTGCCGCCCCCAACGGTGTCCTCGCTGTGAGTGAGCACGGACATTGTGACCAGCGTGGGTTTGTTCACCCTTTTTGGTTTGTCAACAGCAACATGCCGGCCTCCTACTGGGACTATGAGCGAGCGACAATTGAGTATAGCAGCGGGGAGTCCCTACGAGTTGATACAAAAAATTGGCCGTGGGAAGTATTCGGAGGTGTTTCGCAGCCGCAACTGCCAAAACGGGGAGTTGTGTGTCTTGAAGATTCTCAAACCGGTCCGACTGAGGAAGATATATCGCGAGATTACGATTTTACAAAACCTCTGCGGGGGTCCGAATGTGCTGCGGCTGCTGGACGTCGTCATGATACCGCCAGGGGAGACCCCGGTGCTCGTGACAGAGAACGTGGAACCCGCCGAGAGCTTTCGCAGCCTCATGGCCACCAACAAGCTCACCAACTTTGACATGCGCTACTACCTGTACGAGGTGCTGCGTTGCTTGCACTTTGCCCACAGCCGCGGCATCTTCCACCGCGACATTAAGCCGCAGAACATTATTATTGACCACCAACGCCGGAAGCTGCGGATCGCGGATTGGGGGCTGGGCGAGTACTACATTCACGGCCAGGCCTACAACCTTTGCGTTGGCACGCGACACTTTAAAGGGCCAGAGCTGCTCGTTGGCCTCCGCCTCTACGACTACTCGTTAGACATCTGGAGCGTGGGATGTATCCTGGCCGAGATGCTGTTCCGCACCTTTCCTTTTTTCCGCGGCGAGAACAACGAGGACCAGCTCTTCCAGATTGTAGACGTGCTTGGCACGGAGGACCTTGTGCGGTACACGCGCAAGTACAACATTCACTTGCCGCAGCACCTGCTGGCGCGCAGGGGGCTGCTGAAGTGCCCGAAGCGGCCGTGGCACTGGTTCGTGAACCCCCGCTGTGCTCCGTGGTGCGACGCGCAGGCGCTGGACCTGCTCGACAAGATGCTGAAGATGGACCACCAGGAGCGCATCCTCGCCGCTGACGCGATGCAGCATCCCTTTTTTGATCCCGTCCGAAGCGCCCTCCACAACGAGCCGCAGGAGCAGTACCCTCACCTGCAGAGCTGACGCCCTGTGAGGCACGTGCGTGTGCGTGTGCGTAGCGGAGTGGAGGTGGGGGGTGAAATGAAGCGGCGAAGGCAATTCCCTTTTCCTCCTTTTGCCGCACAGACACGCGGCCGGCGACGCTTCAGTCAGTGACGCGGACGAGGAGGTGCAAATTAATAATAAATTAATACATTACACACACAAATGCGTATATAACTTCCACAGTACCAGGCAAAGACGCGGCGTTGCAGAACAAGCCAGGCATCAGACACGCAGAAACGTAAGGGATAACAGAAAGGAGGAGTAAGCAGATGAGTGGATGTACAACGAGGAAGGCGATGTAGTGGAAGGAAGAAAAGAAAAAAAAACCTAGACCGAAAAAAAAAAATGGTGAAAAAAAAGAAAAAAATACAAAAACAAGGCCGATACAAAACAACAACAACAACAACAAACACACACGCACGGAAAGAAACGAAGAAGGTGAAGAAAAAAAAAAACCATGAAAAATGGGGTGAAGACATCACCGCGCTTTGGTTCACACCCTCTTTTTTTTTTTCTTTTTTTCTCCTGCTTTTTTATTTTTCTTTGCTCTTCCACTTTGCCCCCACCCAGACGTATGCATATATATATATATATATGCATGCATGTATACAAACACACGTTGAAGAAGGACGGTGTGCTCTGTTGACGCCTCGCTGTCCATCCGTCTTGCGATTTTACTGCGGACGGCAACACACACAAGTTTCAGACACAACTTGTCCGCATTCCCCCCCCCCTTTTTTATTTTTATTTTTGCGTCCACGCACTTTGAACAGGCAACGGCATCACGGTCGCGCGAGACACGGCGGGCACCAGGATATAAAAATCCAATGGATTGGTGGATGCCCCGGCGCGCGCTGCGCCGCCCCTCGCACACACACGCACCCATGGGGCTTTTCCATCTATGTAGAGGAAACAAGAGAAACGGGCGGCGCAGCGAAGGCGGAAGTGGAGGGTGGGGGAGTTTTTGGGTAGGTGGGATGAGGCTTACATTGAACGTCCGCGCCGTTTTGGATATATTTTTTTTTTTCTGTTGGCGGCGTTCTTAGCGCATGGCTGGACGGACGGTGGCGCGCACGCCGCCTTTATGAAAGTCTCTGTATGTGGCTTTATTTTGAAATTTTTTTTTTTTGAGTTTTAAGTTGTCCAGGGCCGATGCATCCGGCGCTCTACCTCTCACATTTCCGCCGCTGAATGCTCGCAGTAGGCCGTCGCTAGGGTCTGCTAGCCACACAGGTGGACAGACACACGCGTCACTTGTTCAGCCCTCACACCCACTCTTACTTCCACTCTCTCGTCTTTGCATTTCCTCCGTTTTTCTCAATCCACCGCTGCGACAACTTCTCTCTTTTTTCTCTTTTTGGCCTTTCTGAGCAAATAAAAACCGAAGATGGGGCTTCCTTCGCGGGTGGCGCTGGGGTGGCGCGGGGCTCCATGCACTTTGAGCCGCCGTCATGCGTGCCGTGCATTCCACACTGTGGGCGGAGGGGGGATGGCCCCGACAGGTGCGGGTTTTTGCCAGCACACGTACAGCCGCCCCTCAGATAGCGCCAGGAACGCGGCCGCACAGAGGCACGCTGCATTCCAGCACTTTATCCGTCTTCGGAGCTCGGAGTACACCGGCACACGTCTGCCGCCCACGTGCGATCCAGCTGCCGCAGCCCGCGACGGCGAGGCGCTGGGCGGCTGTGAGGCGCCCATGAAACACGCACTGGAGGCGATTGACGTGCGCCCGGCCACTGGCAGTGGGGCGGGTTGTGCGGACGCCGACGCCACCGTGAGGGATGAGCGGGAAAACGAGAAGGATTTGGGGAAACACTCGCGGCCCGTTCCTTCCGCCTCCGTTTCTTCTGAATCTCGTGGACAACGCGATCTTCGTCGGCTGCATCGTCTCGCAGCTAGAACTGCCAGCGAGACACGCCAGGCGCAGTTCCGGGTGGAGTACGAGCGAGCGGTGCACATCCTACGCGACATTCGTGTGGCCGTGGAGGCGATTGTGCCGCCGTGCCGTGGCCGCCATGGGAATGACTTGCGAGGGCTGCGAAAAGACTGGCTGGATTCCAGTGAGGCAGTACGATTTGAACGACTGCACCAACTTCGCGATACGACAAGCCGACTTTCGACAGCTCACTTTTTGCCTCTGCCTGTGGCCACCATTCTGCAGTTTCTTGAACTTATCGGGGGTATTGTTGCTCTTCTGCAGGAGCCACACACTACTGCCCACGGTTACGTCGTGCGGCAGGCGGTGCGGGCACTCTTCCTTGACGCCGACGCCACACCAAAGGTAAGTCGTGGTGGCGCCGCTGCAAAGGCAATGCATGCACGACCGCGGCTTGTATCGGGCCTTCATTACTACAAACTTCTGCGGTCTGTGCTCTCGCTACCCGGCACGGAGTCCATTGAGGTGTCTGACACCACTGGACGAGGGATGCTCGTGGAGGAGCTCTGTGTGCGGCGGTTAGGCGACGGCGTAAACGTCTCTGCGGACACAAGCTCCAAGCCGTTCCTGCACGAGATTGGACCCATGCGTGCGGTGCGTGTGGTAGCATGGTGTCTGCGTCAGGCGGCGTTCTCGCCTGCTGTGTTACACCAGACGAAAAGGCGCTCCTCCCTGCCACCGCGTGGAGAGCTGCGAATTCCGTTTGGTGTGGGAAAGGAGTACACTCAACGTGTATTGGCCTTCTTTGCGGGGGAAGACTCTCGTGGAGACGCCGTGAGTAGTCAGGGCGAGGGCGAGGGCGCGGCGAAGCAGAGAAGCCTGTTTGGTGCAGCGGAGTTGGCGTTGCTGTGCAGCGCCATTGTCTTTTACGAGATTCGGACGATGGAGGCTGTGAAGGTTCTCGTAGAGGCCGCGCCGGTGTGCGCGGCGGAGGTGGATGCGTTGTCGGGTCACCAGCTGAGCTGTGTCATGCTGGCCTACGCGACACTGCAGTACCACGGCGACCTCGCACAACACCCCCCGACACCGCTTCACGCCACGCTTTTGTCGAAGAGCACGAAGCAGACAAACTTTTACTTGCTGCTGGGGGAGCGTGCGGGGGAGCTGGGCGAGGAGTTGCACGAGGACGACGCTGCCCGCGTGCTGCGTGCGCTGGCGATGGTTGGTGTGGAGCACGAGGGGCTCCGTCGCTCGCTGGAGTCCAGCATGCGTATGAAGGGGTTGCGCCGTAGAGTTTTGCTCTCATGAACTGCTGCGACGTGTCTTGCACAACTCCAGGCAAACACACACACACACACACACACACACACAATGATGGTGATGGTGCTGATGACTGCGTCACTTTTCCGATAATTGCTTGTCTTTTCATGTTCTCTTTTTCTTTTTCTCCATGTGATTGTGTATGTCCGCCTTCTTTTGGCTGGCATGGTGGCGCGGGGCGGGGGGGAGGGGGGCAGAAATAGACGGGGGCCAGGCCTCTGCGTATTGTCGATGTGTGGGTGCACTGTGAAATGCCCACCCGCGACCGTCGCAGCTAACACATCTGATACATGAAGGAAGAGGACGGGGGAACTGCCTGTGCAAGCGATTGTTATTATTATTATTATTTTGCTGCTGCCGTTTTTTGTCTGAGCTTCTTCGCTTCTTTTGGCTGTGCCTTTGGGCGGCTTTGGTTCAGGGAACACAGACGCATTGCTGCATCATTTACACTGTAGTAGAGTCGCAAAGGGCATAGACACAGCGGCGGCATCACACCGCGCAGGTGGTGGTGGGGTGAGAAAGTGGGAGAGCGGAAGAGAAAAAACAAAAACAAAAAAAACATGCAGTTTGGTGAGCCCAACGTGTCCCGGCAGCACAACTCACAGCGGCAGCGATGTGTGAAGACGACGGAGGCAGAGCGGTACGATGGCCGGCCGCACCGGACGGACGCGAAGCCGGCCAGAACGTTATGGCAGGCCGTGGGCGCCTGCCTGAGCTCAGACGCGCACGTCATTAAGTTCCTGCTGGTGATTATTTTCATTCTTATTGTGATGTGCCTCGGGCTGATTGGCCTGAGTGCTTGGATGCTCCTCCACAGAACCAACAACGCACCGGTGCTTGAGTCGTCGAGGAAGTTCTTTGACAACAACGCCATCATGGACGTCTGGCGACTCTACGACGCCGCGCAGAGGTCGGATGATGAGTACCACAAGACTGCCCTGCGTGAGTACCTGATACGGTACAAGAACCAGGTAGAGCAGCGGCGAGAGGCGTGGAATCTGCAGCACAAGGTGACTGAAATCGACGTTAAGGACGTCACTGGTGGGGAGGGGCCCATACTTCCGCGTTACACGCCCAGCCCCACGATGCGTTTGCCGTCCCTCATGGCGTCGTTGCGAACAATCATCAACCGTATTGAGTCACAGGACCCGGAGAAGGGGCTAGAGCGCGCCGGCGCGTTTGTTGAGGAGCAAATGAAAGAGGCAGTGGCGGCAGGCAGTCACACGGGTGAGATGATTGAAGAAGGCGAAGCCGTTGAACCGCTGGATGATATTCTTTATCTGCAACTCCGTCGCCTGCACGAGAGCGCCAAGCACGATGCCGCGGCACCCACAACACCGCACAGCACGTGGTGGGAGAATGTCAAGGCAACGGCTCCTTCTGTGTACACAAAGAGGTTTTACTATCCACTAAGGCGCTTTCACCGCATGCGACGCTTTTCTGCGGAGACGCAGGCAGTCACCGCTGCATGGTTTGACGCGCTGGTGGATGACTACTACGGCGAGAACGTCACCCACTTTTCCCCACCGACGTTGCCAACAGGGTTTGCAGCCTTGATGTCGCAGGCGGTTGCCGACAGTGAGGCAACTTCTGCGCCGCTTGCGTCACCGGCACACACCGGCTCGTTGTTTGTCAACATCGCAAGCTTTCGGGACAAGGAGTGTTGGCCGACGGTGGACCACATGATTCGACGATCTACAAACATGTTCCGCGTGTACTGGGGAATTGCGCAGCAAAATTACTACACCGACCTTCCTTGCGTTTCCGAGGATGCCCTGGAGCCGCAGCCGTGCTTGGCGGCCCCCATCACACCGGGTCTTGTGCTCAGTGATGCAAACTACGACGGCGCGGTCTGCTTTCCAGCGGATAATATTCGGGTTCGACATATTAACTCGCATTCCGCTTTTGGCCCAACGTACGGCCGCTACATGGCGATGCTCTTGTACAGGGGTGAGGACTACACCTTGGTGCTTGACTCACATAATCGCTTTGTTTACGCCTGGGACACCCGCATCGTTGCGATGCAACTGGCCCTGCAACACCCCAAGGCCGTGCTCTCGCACTACCCCGAGAGCTACGACGAAACAAAGGGCACTGAGTTCAAGTGGGAGCGCACTACCACGGCGTATTTGTGTCAGGCCAAGTTTCTCGAGTCAGCGGGGTATCTGCGGCTGATTGGCATTCTTATTGATGACGCCAGCTCATTTAAGCGGAATGCGCGGCACGTGAGACCGTACTATCTGCCACAGCTCAACTTGGACCCCAATGTGGTGCGGCCGCTGCCGCAGCCGTGGGCTGCTGGGGGGTTCATCTTTGCGAACGCGTCCATCATGCGCGAGGTCCCGTTTGATCTTCACCTGCCGCACATCTTTGACGGGGAGGAGGTGATGTACTCGGTGCGGTTGTGGACACACGGGTACGACATTTACTCCCCCAAGCGTGGTATTTGCTACCACTTTTACGGCCGTCCAAAGGAGCCCAAGCTGTGGAATGAGGCGCATCGGTGGTACACCGTCCAGGCCCACTCACGCCGTCGCATTCAATACCTTTTGCGGGCGCGGGTGAAGGGGGTGGATGTGTTGCGGGTTCCGAAGAACACCCAGGATCCGGTGGTGATGGTAGATGCGGACCGGTACGGCACAGGGCGGCTGCGCAGCGTGGAGGAGTGGTACAAGTTCGCCGGAGCGGATCCTGTGCAGTATGTCCTGGACGGTCGTTGGTGCGGGTGATTGGCGGCAGGGGAGGGCGGGGAGCTCGCACTTGCGGTTTAGAGGAATGCCTTTTTTTTTTCGAGCAAAACAACCAGCAAAAACAAAATACAATGCGTCAAAATAAATGATGAGAAACAAAAAAAAACACACACACACAAAATCAAACAAGAAGAAGAAATGGAGACTCGTGTTTGTTTGTTTTCTGTTTTTGAGGTTGAGCTTTTGGCCGTGTTATTATGCCTCTATCACTATCTTTGCCCGCGGGGATCGATGGTGTGAGTCCGCTGAGGGACTACGTGGCGCGGCGCAGTCTTCTCTTCCGCACGCGAGAATGTAAGAGAGTGCGGTGTGTGTGTGTGAGAGAGAGAGAGAGAGATGTCTGGTGGGGGGAGGGGGCGTGAGGGGAAGGAGGAGGAGGCGGTTGGTGTCCACCGCATCCCTGTCCCTCCCTGCCTGTGTGCGTCTATATCTCTAACCTGTGGGCGTTTGTTTGGACAATTATTTCTTTTTTTTTTCTTTTGTTACGCTCTTTAGTATATGTGGGCGTCTCGGTTTTTTCCCTTCCCGTCGGTGGCCATCGCCTGCATGGACCTGTGAGGCTGCTGCGCGGCATGCCTGTTTTGGCCACACACACACACACACACACCCCGTCGCTTTTTTATTTTCTTCGCCACTCCATTCGCTGCCTCTTTTTGTTTTTTGTTTTGTTTTTAAATTATCACTTCTGTGGCACTCATATTTTTTTCTTTTTTCTAATTCGTATTCGCTGCGCCGCCGCGATGTCTCTGCAGCTGCTACAAAAAGGAAAGTAGCCCTTTAAAAAAGAAACACACACACACACACACACACATACCTATTCGTTGGAAGTGCCCGCGGATGGTTAAATTGGAGCTGCGAGAGTTTGCCGAGGCCACCCGGCGCATGGTGCAACTCAGCGGGATGAAGAAGTCGCGGTTAATGCTGCGCGCACGCCCCAGCAGCGGCCACAACACGTTTGTGCTGAAATCGACGGACGGACGCACCACCCTCACGACGCGGGTGACGCATCAGGGGGAGCTGAAGCTCGTGGAAGGCATTGTGAACGACTTCGTTGGGAGCTGCACTTCCGCCGTAGCCTCGCTAGGGGGAGGCCAAACGTCACTGCCCGCCCCACCACTGCCCCCCGCTCCCGCGCCGGGCAAGCAAGCGGAGCGTGGCGGCATCAGCAGCAGCGCCCCGCAGCTCTCTTCTTCAGCGGGAGGAAAGGGCGGCAGCAAGCAGGTGGGGAAGTCTGCTGGTGGCGGTGCGAACGCCAACCAGCATGAACAGCACGGTAACAAGAAGCGGAAGGGTGGCCGTCGATAGGCGTCGTTTTTTTTTTTTCTTCGTTGGTTGGGTGCATGGCCTGCGTCGGTGCAGGGAAGATGGCTGCGGGGTTTCTCAGCCTCTTCCGGTCTGCCCTTATGCGTTACAGTTGATAAACCGATACACACACACACACACAAACAAACAAACATATTTTCCCCACCGTCTTGTTCTCCCAATTGCTCTGCAAGTGTGTGTGTATGCTTGTGTGTATTTTAATGCGGTGGCTGCATTATCTTCCCAGCACTACAATGACTGCTGCAGGAGGACAATGAATGCCAACGTGAGGGGGGAGGGCGCAAGCTTCTTCTGTCTTGTTTTGTTTTTGTTCCTCTCGCGTTACGGCTGCGTCCATGTGCCGCACCTGCATGGGTGAGAGGAGGGTCTCCACCCACACAACGACAGAAAAGTAGATACTCACAGAGAGAGAAGGGAGTAAAAGTGGCCCTCATAGAAGTTGGGGGTGGGAATCGTTTCTCCTCCCACTATTGCGCATCATAGACTTGTGCAAGCCGGACCAGCAGGAAGACGTCAAGTGTCTTTATTATTATTATTATTATTTCGTGTTGTACGCGCGTGTGAGTGGATGCATTGGATGTGGGCACTGCACATGCTGGAGCGGTGCAGGATGCGGTTTCGGCGATCGATGAAGCGCAGCGTGCGGTTGTTCGTTCTGCTTACGATTGTGGCGCTTTTATTGCTGCTGAGCATTGCGATGTTTGACCCCACTGTGGACGAGGTGGACGCGGACTACATCGACGTGGAGGACATCGCCCACGAGCTTGAGAACCCGACGCGTCCTACCCACCACGACATGGCGGGGATGCAGATGCAAATAAAGCGCGGACGGGAGTCCATGCTGCTGCACGCAAAGGACCTTCTTTCGTTGCTGCAGCGGTTTTCAGATGAGATTACGATTGCTGCCACCAACGCCAGGCCTGGGGAGGTGGTGCGGCCTGTGGAGAAGACCCTCACGACCCCCGAGTCTGTTCTCTCAGAGTACTACGGAACAGAGCTGCTACGACTGAACAACTTGCACGAAAAAGACCTTGACGCTGGCTACGCGGAGAACGTGGTACACTCCGACACCTACTGGAGCCCGTCTCACGTCACCCGCCGCGGTTACGGACTCGAGGGAAGCATCTTCGTTGGCGTCACGCATAGCCAGGAGGCGTCGTCGTCGTCCGACGTGGAAACGGCTTGCGCGGCGACGGTGCGGAGTCTCTACGAGGCTGCACGCTGGCCACTCGCGGTGTTTACCGGCGTCGTGGATGTCACGCTTCTCACGACGCCCACGCCACGTGATACCACCGCCTCCACGGCGTCGTCGAAGAATACAGAAAGTCAGTCACCAGAGGAAACTCCTGCGTGGACGTCGACGCCGCCGCCGCCGTCCGTGTGTGTCCCGCGCGCGTATCTTTTGCCCAGCTGTGCGGAGCGTGCCTCGTTTTGCCCCACAGACAACATCTTCGTCCGACGGGTGCGGGTTGGGCCGACGTCGGCCGGTACTGTCGGTGCCGCGGGAAATGCACGGCGTCGCAGGATGCATCCTCTGTTTTCCTCCGTCGCGGCACAGCGATACGCAACACTGGCGCTTTACCGCGGCGAAACGTATGTCATGTTCATTACCGCCGGTTTGCAGCTTGTCTTCAAGTGGGATGTGCTGACCCGCATTCTGTGGCTGCAGCTGCCCTCGCGCCATGCGGTGCTTTCCCAACCCCCCGTTCCCATCAGCCGCCAGGCCGTCCGTGTGGCATGGAACGCTGTGGTGGTGAAGCACGTGGAGGGAGTTATCGCCACCACCAAGCTGTTCTCCAACGGGACGGCGGAACAGACGCATCGGTCGAAGCTGAGCGAGGAAAAACTGGGGAACGGTGTGGATCGGTGGCTTGAGTCGATCCAGTGGGCACTCAATTTGGAGGCGGTGCAGCTTCAGCTCGCGAGGGATGAGGCGGCAGGGAGCGGCGGGAAGGAGCACACCGACACCGAGAAGGATACGGGAATGCGGGAGGAGGATGTCGTGTCGTACATTTTCCACCATGACGCGGCGGTGTTTCGCCACGCGAAGGAGCAGGCACCCATGACGGGTGGTGCCACGCCGAGGGAGGAAGGACGCACCCCTGGTGCGGCCAGCCGCAGGGACATTCAACTCTACTGGCTACGACAGTTTTATGAGAGCCTGCGTGAGGCGTTAATGAAAGAGGTGGTGGAGCGAAATACCACGTCGTGCCTTTCTGGCGTTCAAATGAAGGGGCTGAAGTCCCGACAATATGCTGAGTCCCTCTTTAGACTTCATGCGACACGGGTGAGGCGGCTTAGCCATGCCATGCAAGACCCTCGCTACATGCGGCCCTCGCCCTTTCATGCGTGTGGCGGGAAAGGCGAGAGTGCATGCCCAGGTCCGTCTGAGGCCAAAAACATGTGCCATAGCGACGTGATGCTTCCATACTTGCGGCAGGCTTGGGTGACCACAGACTTTCTCTTCGCTCGGGCAGAGACCTTTGTTAATCTCCCACGCGAGGGCGTCGATGGCTACGGTGGTCCCACAAACGCGGATACAGTGCGGCTGGACCCTTATCTGAGTTTTGTGGGCGCCGACGAGGAGGCGGTGCTGCTGAGCGCACGGCTCTGGACACACGGGTGGGATTTATTTTCCGCAACGGAACCAATTGCCTTCACCGTGGCACAACCGCGCACGGAGGCGGCGTCCGAGGCAGATACGTACACGCTCTCTCCAACGCTGCAGCGGCTGCGTGAGCAGAGTGTGACACGCCTGCGGCACATTCTTTTTGGCAAAAACGGCGCTGCGGGCACCTCCCCAAATGTGGAGGCTGCGGCATTGCGTGACGTGGAGCATTACGGTCTCGGTGAGCGGCGGTCGAAGGAGCAATTGTTTTACTTTTCTGGCCTTCAGGAGGCAACGCGGCGGGAAGGATTGGTGGAGTCCGACGCCGATGCTCAAAATGCAGAAGAATCCAACTGCCCCGTATTTTTCTGTCGCAGTCAGCAATCATGAATCCGGCGGTGAAGGGGATGGCGGGAGAGGGCGTGACAAGCTGCGAGTCACGTTTTCAATGTGCACTGTTGGCTTGCTTTGTGGGTTACTGCTGCAATGATACCGGTAATTACGCGTAGGGTAAAATTGTAACTTGTGTGCGTCTGGTGGTGACATGTGGGGTGAGTGGGCGCTGGAAGTGAAGGCTGAGCCTCAAAGTGCGGCTCCCCATCTTTCTTTTTTTCCTGTAACTATAACGGTAGATATATATATATATGTATATATATATATATGTAGAGTTACATATGTATTGAGTTCCCCTGACCCCCCCCCCTCCCCCCGCTCCCTCTCTCTCTCTCTGTGCATGTGGCTGTGCGTTATTGTTTTTTTTGTTGTTGTTGTTTCTGCGGTTGTTTGCGTTAAGTCTTCTTTTTTTTACGGTGTTTTGTGTTGTGCGGTTTTGGCTGCCTCCGGGCGGAGAAGACGTGCGTGTGCGTTTCTCTGTGACGGCGGAATGATGCATGGGCAGGGATCCCTGCCTCTAGCGCATGGCTTGCTGCTGCTGCTGCTGCACTCTCATCGCGGCTACCTCATACTTCTCTTCGCGTTGCCGCCACTGCACATGACAGGAACGAGAGCTAGCAAGGTAGACTGATCGCGAGGCCCACCGCAGGGGAGGGGGAGGGGGGGGGAGGAAAAGCAAAAACAACAAGAATAGAGAAGGAGAGCACAGGCAGAAAAGGCGAGGGTTGCAGGGGGCAGCGTTGAGGCGGGCGGAATGTCCTCCGGGGAAGCGGTGCAGGAGGTGCGGCGCATCTTCACAAACAACACCGTGGAGCAGGTCCGCGACTACCTCAGCACCATCACCCGCGGCATACAAGAGAGCGATGATCGGCTTAAGCATATTGTGGGGCAGAGTTACCGCGACCTCATTGCGGCCTGTGATCAGGTGGTGGGGATGGAGCAGACCTGCAAGAGGCTGCTGCAGCTGCAGAAGGAGCTGCACATGGAGCAACAGCTGACATCGTCTGCATCGCCGTCGCCGCAGGCTCTTCTGGAGGTGTTGGAGCTAGAGAACTCCTCGCGATGCGTGGGCGGCACTCCATCCCCCGCGGCGACGCTGTGTGGATTCCAAGAGGAAGAAATTGTGGACGCTTCAGCGCATGCAAACGGGACAAACGCACCGAGATCAGCTTTGTGTGAGAGGCTAATATTTCAACAGCGCTGCATTGCAATTGAGGGGCTGCTTGGGGCCCAGCAGGTCCAGAAGGCGGCCACCGTCTGGCAGGAGTTACGGGATGGGTTGGAGGGTGAGACGACGTTCACCGTGAAGAGTGTGACGGCGATGGAGGAGTCATGCAACACGTTAGTTGCTCACGTGCGCGACAAGCATCAGGAAAAGCAACGTTTGTTGCTGGATTCGTACGGGAATCGCATTCGACAGGCAATTCGTGACTTACTTCGCAACGATGCGGATGATGCCGCGCGACATACAGTGGACTCGGCGGGTGGGGCAAAACAAACGATGCGAGGCGCTGACAGTAGGAGCGACATGCAGCGGCAGGCGACAGGCACGGTGGTGGACAGCCTCGCGGAGGGGAGTGAAGTTATGGCAGCGGCAATGACACACATGACGGAGGCGCATGCGGCACTGGGCGTCCTAGACGCCGTAGCCGCACCAAGTGCCCTGCAACAACTCATTGCACTCGTGGCTGCCATGATTGAAGGGGAGCTGCAGTTAATCTCTGAAGCAGTCTCCGAAAGGATGCCGCCACGACGAGGAAGACGCGGTGGTGCAGGTGCGCCGGTGAGTGTTGGGGGCCAGTCATCTGGTGCGGTGGGGTGGTTGCGGGGGGTTTTGACGCTTCCGGTGTGGCTTCTGGACGACGAGGCGGCGTCGCAGCTCTCGAAGAGATGGACGCCACCAAACACGGAGGCAACAAATTTGGGCAACACAGTTCCTCTAACCGCAGTAGCAACAACGACGACTACCAGTAATACGGGTACCACTACATCTGGTAGATTTAACGGTGAAGCAAACTCAAGGGCGAAGGACACAGCCATTGCCTTGCATCTGCTACAGCGCACTCAGCAGCTGTTTTTTCACCTTGTGGCCTACGCGGCGTCGGTGCTGCCGCGGCTCTGTGGCTCCGAAAGGGACGTCAGAAACGAGGCCCCGTTGCCGCAGGACGGGGCTGCTTCTGCTGCTGCCGCCGCCGTTGTAGAGAACAAGGGAGAGGATATCGATGGGTACGTGGATTACCAACGGCAACAGCGTTCACTGCAGTCACTTCTCACACTTCGAGGGCGGCTGTTGTCTCAGCAACAGGAGGATGAGGATGAGGCGAGCAAAGAGGCATTGGAGCTTGGCGGTCGAGTGGCTAAACGCGTGGGCGTTACTGTGACACGGGATGTCTTGTCCAACTCGCTTCGCAGTGCCCCGGAGGAGGCGTGGGAGGCCTCATTGAGTGGATCAAGCGCACTCGTGCCGCTCACTCTTTCGGGTGGGCCTAGTGCGCACAAGCGCTCGCGGCTGCGAACGATGTACGTTCGCGAGGTGATGCGGCAGGTGTGTGGGATGCAGCTTCTCGACCCGCAGCTTCTGCAGCGACGGCGGCTGGCAAAGCCGATCTCCGCGTCGGATCCCGGCAGCAGCAACAGCGAACGTGCGGCGTCTGCGTGGGCGGAGGTGAGGCGGAACCTGACGGCCGTGCAGGCGACCCTGTCACGGCTGTTGGGTTGCGTCGCGGACGCTGGTCTCCTGCGCAGCCCGCGTTTTGTGGCCATGCAGGAGCGACTCGCACTGCAGGAGGCCACACGACTGCAGCAGTGGCTCAGGCAAAACCTCGGCCAGGGCGCGGTGCTCTTCGACATCGCGTGGTGGACGGAGACGGTGCACAACACGACGGAGCGCGCCCTTGTGAATGCTGTCCGCACGGCACTGCGAAAGGCGGACGTCGTCTGGAACGCCACGCTGCAATGCATCCAGATGGAGAGCTGCCGCCCCCAGCGTGAACCGTTGCCAGCCCCGTCACAGGCGCCCCCACCACCTGCATGCGTGGACGCCTCTGCGAAGGCGCGGCCAATGACGTTGTCGCACTTGTCCCAGCGGCTTCTGTCCCGCTCACTCTCTGTGAGCCAGCTCATTGCTGCGGTGCACCGCAGTGATGGAAAGAGACCTGCGTCTTTCGTATCGTCTTCGGCTTTGGAAGGGCGCACCCGCACTCGTGGAGAAGAGGGTACCACAACGAGCGCGCTTCTCGCCCGTGCGGTGGTGCAGTCTATGTGGACACATTCCAAGGTGACCGTTGAGGGAACGACAGAGGGCGCATCTCAGCTGAACGCACGCGGTGCTCGGAGCCTCACTTCCGACATGCCACCAGCTGGAGGCCTGTCGGCGGATCTCGTTACGGCGACGATGGGTGGAAGCAAGCGTGTCATGCCGCTTGACGTGGTGGATGAGATGCTGTTTGTAGACGGCGGCGAGGCTGAGGAAGAGGAGGAAGTGGCTGAGGAAGGAGAGGAGGGGGGTACTCCTAATGCGCAGGGAACGGAGGGCAATAAGCTGCAAGCAAAGAAAAAGGCATTCGTCTCCTCCTTCATTTCGTTGTATCCAGCATGCTTGGATGCAGAAATGCGTGAAGGTGAGGACCAGGTCGCCGTGTCTGAGCGAAGCGTGTTGCTGCATATGCTGCAGCGCATTGCTAACTCTGAGAAGTTGTGCGCCGCGGCGCAGACACCCGTGCAGAGTCTCATCACGACGTGGATGTCGGGTGCTTTGGGGCGCGTACAGGCGATGATGCAGAGCGAAACGGCGGAGCATCAGCAGCCTCAGCAACCGCTGCAGCAGGGGGAGTCCTTTGAATGCCATGCGGCGATGATCGTCTTTTTTCATCGTCTCTCGTTGCTTGTGGATGTGCTGCTGCGCGTGTTGGAGGCGACGCCAGCGGTGTCAGCCGCGGCAGGGACACTTGTGCAGGAGCTGCGTCAGACGGTCATTGCGTGCCATACGCCATGGGTGCAGCTCCTGCGACGGGAGTGGGAGAGTGGACTCTGCACGGCATACAGGGAGGCATTGGCGGCCGTCACAGCCCCCACAGTTGATGCCGTTGCGCCATCGCTGGTGGCACGGCGCTACGCGCTGGAGTATGCGGCATGCTGGTATCATGTCTCTCGCCATTTGAATCCGCAGGAGCGGAGTGAGGAGAAGGCGGTGGAAGCGGGGGGACAGGCAGTGGCGTACCCAATCCAGCTCACTCCACACGTGGCGGAGCTCCTGTTAACGTTGCAGCATATCCTGTACACGGTTAGCGTGGGACGGTGTCTACACGAGACGGTATTTCCGCTTGTTGTACGCGAGTTGCTAGACGGCACGGCAGCGGCTGCACTGAACTTTGTCCTGCCCACCCTGACCTCTGACAGGCGTACACACATGAATGGGGATACGGGCAGCCATGGCGGCAGCAGCGATGCGAGCAACCCTCAAACCCTGCATTTGCAGATGATGACGGACCACGCGACGGACGTCAGCAATCGTGACGGGGGCACTGACGGCGACGGCGGCGTCGATGACGACGAGAAGGAGGAGGCGCTGTTGCAGTTGTACTTTGATGTGCAGTTTATCACCAGGCTTCTTGTCCCACCGGAGGCGGCTTGCCGTGTCCTCCACGGCGGCGGTGCTGCGTGCGATTGAGCAGCGCGTGGACCCCGTCACCTGGTCACTCGCCTCCCCGCTCCTCATCTCCGCCAATGAGCAGCTGCTGCGGGCCACAACTCTCTCGTTTGGCTCCTGGTGCGCCGCGGCCGCCGCGGATGTGTGGAACGCGGCCGGGAGCGACGTCAACCGAGCCACGGCGAGCACGCGGCCGTCCACGTTGCCGCCGCTCAATGGGGCTATTGCGACGCCCACAGAGCGAGAACGTTTTCCGTTGCTTCCGCTAGCCGCGACTGCCCCTTCCCTGCTCCCGACTGCCGGGGGAACGTCCCTCACCGCCAGGGCACGAGGTGGAATTGAAGGCAGAGGCGGGGCGACATCCTCCCTGGGGACTGCTGCTTCTGCCTTTAGTCGCCGCATGGATGCCGCGTTACCGGCTCCAGCTGCGGAATGCAGGGAGACTGCGGCCACGTCCTTCACGAGCTCGCTGTTGTGGGGTGACGGCACGAAGAAGGGATGGATGGGGTCTTTATGGTAGCATTGCCATGTTATTATTATTATTATTATGTTTTTTTTTTTTTATGACCATCATTTCCTTTTCTTCTTGTCTTCTGCATGTGCTCCTCCATCACGGTTGCTGCTTCTGCACCCACGCACTATCATTGCACCTCTGCCTTGCATTCGATAGTGATGGGTTTGCGCGTGCGCACAGCGACGGAGACAGCATTATCTCTCTTTTTCTTTTCCCTACTCCTCTTTGCGTGTGTGTGTGTGTGTGGTGGGGTGCACCCGTTATTGATGCTTGGAGGAAGAAGCATGAACCAGGGAAATCAACAGCATAAATGCGTAAGCCACGTAGAATTTCATTACGCGGCGAATGGCAATGTGGTGGCGCTGCGTGAATGGCTACGGAAGCACCCAGAGCGTGTGAACATCCCCAAACCCGGCTCAATGTACACGCTGCTGAGTACAGCTGTTAATTGCTGCCGTCTCGAGGTGGTGCAGATGCTTGTTGGCGAGTTCCACGCCGATATGGGGATTCCTTGCGGGGGCATCGGCAACACATGCGTGCACACTGCCGCATCCAAGTGTTCTGTTGACATACTTTCGTATCTTCTCTCCTGCTCCCCCCCACTGAGGCCAAATGCGTTTATGGAGTACCCACGCGACATCGCTGAAGCGGCGAACGCAAACAAGGAAAGCAAGGAGAAGTGCGTCGCCATGCTGCGAGCCTACGAGGAAACATCTGGTCAACCGAGACTGAAGCAGGAGACGGGAAGTAGTGCAGTGCTGCAGTCACTGCCGCAGCATCCGCCTCAACTTCCGAGGCAGTCTTCATCGTTGGCGCTCTCGCGGCCGTTGGGTACTCCTGCTACCATCGAGAAGACGGCGCTGCGCGACCTCATTCGCGAGGTGAAGCTCGACGATGATGAAGACGAGGGGAGCGGTGCCAGTTGTCAAACGTCGCACATGTGGCTGGAGAAACGAAGACAGTCCCAAGCCCCATCCCCGTTGCTGTCCACCCTACACGGCCACCGCGATGACCTCGCGGGGAAAGGCGGGCTCGACGCAAACTGCGGCAGGCCGCGTAATGAGCGCAGCCTTAATACACAGACGAATTTGCCGTTAGATCTACGGGAATTCCGTCGTCAGTACGGGGGCAGCTTTGATTTTATAGAAGACACCCACAGGTACGTGATACGAGGCCTGCTGCCGTACACCTTCAAGGAGTGTGTGTACTACACCCCCGTCATCATCACTCTGTGCAAGCCCACCGATGCGGCGGGGGACGAAAGCGTGGGATCCCAGCAGGATTTTCACAGTGACTGTCAATCAGGGAGGCCCCCTCCTGTTGCCCGCTACCGGGCCCTCATTGACCGCAAGCGACTCGGGACTCTCTTCATCAGCCGCCGCGCCACGTACATTGATCCCTGCACTGCTGCCATCATCCCAAGTGCAGTCGATGCGTACTACCGAAACCTGCTAGACTTTGTGCGATACGCCGTCCTCGACAACTTTGAGCGCATCCCGCCACTGACTTCATCCAGCAATGAAAGCAGAGCCGTCCAGGACGGCGTCCCGCTCTTTTCCCTGTACCCGCGGCAGCGGGAGGCAACGCTGCGTATTATGCGTGAACTGTCCTTATTCGGCGATGGGGCCTTGACGTACGACTGCGCTACTTTTCGGGTGGAAGGTTTTCTGCCGCTGTTTGTCCCCCTTGCATCTTCAAGTGGAGGTGGTGGCGGTGGCAGAGACGCCCATGCGGCTGGTAAGGTCGTCATAAATGCCGCCTCCAGCCCGCCCCTTGAAGACCACGGCGCACGAACGAAGGACAGCAAAATTGAGGCCATGCTGGCTGGCGATCTTATTATGAAGCTGCAGCTCCGTGTCCAGTTTGACGCAAACTCCAACTTTGAGAACCCACCACGCGTCTACTTTACAAACGCCACCACCAACACCCTCGAACCGTGGAATAGCTACGAGTTTCTCTCACAGATTATCTTTGACAGCACATGCGGAGAGGTCTGCTGTGGCAAGCTTAGCTCATTAGCGGGTTGGAAAGAACACGGCTCCCTTCTTACTGTGTTAGTGGAGCTGCAGCAGAAGGCAACGTCACTGCTGATGGAGTATTGTACGACATCCGCGTTGTGTGAGAGCAGCAAAGGTGAGGCTGCCGCGGCGCGGAAAGGTGATCCTGTGTGTTCCACAACTCCATCAACTTCCATGCAGTACGAGACGCCGAGTGTAGATCGGACGGGGTTGGAGGAAGACATGGGGTTCATCCTTGTTGGACGGCCGACGACGGGAACTGCGGAGGCGTTGGCCGCTGACAACAACAGCAACAACGACAACAACGACAGGTGGACGTTAGTTTCCCACGGCGATGATACGGGCACCGCCAGCATGTGCGTGTTCTGCGCGGAGGCGGAGCGGAATATCGTGCTCCTGCCATGCCGCCACTTGGTGCTCTGTCGTGCGTGTAGTCTTCGCTACAGGGACCGTCTGGCAGATGCGATGCTGTGCCCCATCTGCCGCACCCCCACTGAAACCGTGTTGGAAGTCTTCTCGTGACGATGCGCATCTATCTGACTTGGGTGCGGCAGGGGGAGTGTGTAGCACGCGGGCAATAGTTGCATAACTCGCCTTTTTGTTTTGTTTGTGGGTTTCTGCGTGTGTGTGTGTGTGTGTTTCTGTGTATTTGTGTGTGTTTCTGTGTGTGTTTGTGTTGTCCTCAATGCCGTGTGCGACGCCTCCCTTTTCTGTGCCTTGCAGGAGGGGGCTGGGGAAGAGGAGGACGCGCCAAACAGAGAGGTTCACCAACGAAGACGACAACAAAACCAAATGAAACAGAGAAGAAACAAAAAACAACAACGAAATAAAAAAAAAGAGCAACAAACACCTCTTGAAGAAGAGATCTGCATTTATGAGAGGAGTGTGTGCGCTGGGCATGGCGGCCACCTCGCTTTATCCTTTTTTTTTTTATCTTTTTTTTTTTCTGTGTGCATGCCTGCGAGTGTGTGCGTGTGTGAGCCTGAAGGGGTACTGCAAAACCATCGAAGGAGAGGGGTGGAACGGAGCGGCGGAGTATACCAGGCGAAGGCGTGGGCTACTTCACACGTGTATTGCATTCCTATTTATGTATTTGTTTTCCCTTTTTTCTTTTTGTCTTTTTCTTCGTTGTTGTTGCGATTTCAATGCTTGTGTCTCTTGCACCCCTGCATCTTGAGCGGAAAGGGGGCTTACCAACATGTCTGCGGCGCCGGACGCCGTGAATATTGTTGTGCACCTTTCCGGCCTTCGAGCCGATGTTATTTCTGCCGAGTTCAGACGCTTCAGCGCGGCCCAGCCGCGAGGCAACCGCCCCTACGCGACACTAGCGTTCTTCGAGGAGCAGCTGCAGGAGCAGCAGCAGCGCTACCTCCCGCCAAGCATGGAGCAGCTGCGACTGGCACTCGTGAGCGATGCGGGGGAGATGGGCAGCTGGGGGGTGACGACACCACTTCTGCTTGAGAGAACATTGCCGTCGTTGGATAACGAGGACACGAAGAGAAATGATGGTGGAACAGACGATAACCTCCTTTTTTTTACGGCGTCAGTGCGTGTGCCAGCCTCTTGCATTGCGGAGCGGCTACTACGGTTCCGTTTGGTGATTGTGGATGAACCCCTACTGCGTGCAGTGACCGCGACGACGACGGGTTTGGCTTCTGCCACGGCGTTTGCTAAGACTCCTTGCATCGCGCGCGGCATTACGCCTGGTGGCGCCATCGTTGCCGTGGAGAATACCTACTGGGGGCCGGACACCGTGCCGCTTCTTGCCGACGCCGATGGGAACAGCTGGAGGGCTCACATTAACCTGCAGGACCGTACGTTACACTTTGCCCGTGCCTCAACGCAGTTTCCGTTCTTGTCACAACTGTGCGAGGTAGACAAGGTGAACCCTGTCTCCAGGGCGGGGCCTCTCCTCTCACTGACACTGTACGCGAATGACCCACGAACGCGCTTTGAACGCCAGACATGGCTAGAAAGTTTACCACCACATATGCGCGACACTATGATTTACCTGCAGCGTGAATATGCGCGGCAGTCGGACATGGGCGACACGCCTGGCAAAGGCCCACTGTTGCCCTCCTCCTGCTTTGAGGTTGAGGACATTTACCCCGTGCGCTGCGATGGCAGTTGCTGGCGCGAGGGACACCTGCCAACGCCCGCTCCCATGGAAAAGCAGAAACAAGTCGTGAAACAGGTCACGAAGCGGCGGAAGCCGCCCAAGGAGACTGAGAATGAGCGGGATGCATCCCTACAGCGGACCAAGCATTATTCCATAGGCAAAGACGTAGGGGGGTGGGATAGTCTTTCGGCGACCTCCTTTGGATCCGCGGATCACGCGTGTAATTATTGGCCCTCGTGGCAGCAGCAGCAACTCCCTCCATTGAACGGGAACTCCTACACCTCGTGCGATAACACCACCACTGCCGTTGTGCGGCGTGGCTGGTGTGTGGAGCCACTGCATGGCGTTGACCCCGTGCGCCCCTTCACCCCGGGTGACCCACAGTTTACAATGCGTGTGTGGCACTCGACGGTTAACGTAGCACCGCTAGAAGGGCGTGGGCTGCAGATTGAGGCCATGATGCCAGTACCTATTTATGGGGTGAATGCTGGGGATGGCAGCAGCGTGGTCTCAAACAAGTTGACGGCATCCTCGCTGGCCCCCGACCTCTCCTTAACAGTCACGTCTGCGGAGTGGAACGCATGTCATCAGACCGTGGGCATGGAACGCGAAGATGCCAACTGCAGCAACAGCAGCGGGACGAGCATCAGCAGTCATGTCAGTCGTGCGGTGGTGGTGGGTGTACGATGGGTGAAGGGTGTTGCTGTACTGCAGCCCCCGCTGTTTAAGCATCACACCAGTGGCACCCTTGCCATTCCGCTTTGCTTCATGGACACAGCCCCTGGCGTTGGTGGCACTCCAACGGCCTACTGGCACACTGTCTACGTCCAGTACCTGTTTATCTTTCCCTTTTACTATCCACTGCGCACTACGCTTGAGGTAATTCGCTCGCTTTCGTCACTGGGCCGTTTAACAACAAAAAAACCCGTTGGTCACCGTGGACTCGGCAAGACGTATACGCGTAGGGACCCATCTGATTTGTTGGACGACTCCACCCCCTCCTCAGCGAAACCCAATCCTGTGAAGAAGAACCGCCTCACCGTGAAGCTGGCGGAGAACAGCCTAGAGGCCATCAACGCAGCCCATAGACGAGGTTGCGACATGGTGGAGTTTGACGTGATGCTCACACGGGATCGCATTCCAGTCGTATTTCACGATCCACTCATTCAGCTGCAGGCACGGAAGAAGCGCGGCGCCGGAACCCGCAACGGCCGCGTAGAGCGCCGAGTGTCGAAAGACGGTTCGCTGGATTTTTGCAACAGCCCCGTCTTCCTCATGGACAGTGTACCAATGCAACAGCATCACGGCCGGCATCACCAGCCGCCGCTGCAGGCCCGTTCCACCGTCCTTATGAAGTCCGTGTTGTCGGGCGTTTCCATGACTCCTGAACAGGCGTCGCCGAAGATGTTTCATATTAACTCGCAAAATATGCTCAACTTTGCCTCCGTTCCCATCGCTCTGCATCAGTTGACAAAGCGGGAGCTGGATGTGGTGACCACGGAGACCTTTTCGCATGTGAAGGAGCACAACACGCTGCGCAATTTGATTCTGCGGCACTGGAACCAAATCATCCGCGTCTCCCGCAATCGTCAGCGACTGGAGTGCATGCAGAAGTGTGAGATTGAACCACTCACAGGGGAGTCTGAGTTTAGCGGGTGCATGCCAAGGGAAAAGTGGGGCAACGTCGGGACGCAAGAGCGGGGCCAAAATAAGTCGCGGTTGCGCCAGCGGCAGATGCTGGCGCAACAGGAGGATGTGACGAATCACATTTGCACGCTGCAGGACCTCTTTGAGGGCACCCCGCCGACGCTGCGCTTTGATCTGGAGGTGAAGTTTCCTTTTCAACCTATTGGGGATAGAAACTTGTTTCTGCAGACGGACGCCTTTGAGGTAAACGCCTTTGTAGATGACATTTTGCGCGTCGTTTTTGCCTTCGCCGACCAGCGGCAGCTTGTCCGGGATGAGCGGGGGGACGCGACGGAGCGGCCCCGCGACGTCATCTTCAGCAGCTTTGAGCCCGATGTCTGCCTCGCTCTCAAGATGAAGCAAAGCCGCTTCGACGTTGTGTTTCTTTGCGATACGCAGCTGTCGGAGGATTTCAAGGACTACCGCTGCTTCGGGCTTGTGGAGGGGGCCCTGCAGTTTTCCGTTTTCATGCATCTCTCTGGCGTCTCCATCCTCGCCGCGTCGTTGTGTACCAATGAGCAGATGAAAATCCCCAGCGACCACAGCGTTCCCCGCCTGCCGCGGCAACCCGCCTCCCTGCGACTGGAGATTGAAAAAGCAGGACTGAAGACTGCGGCTGCGTTGAAAAGAAATGAAATGAACGAGAATAACACTGACGATCTTGCTAATGAAGATGGTGACGGCCATGTTGTTATTTCCGATCCACGCGAGGCGCACTGGGCCACGTTTGATTGCTCCCGTGGGAAAGCCATCGCCTCCTATGCGCATGCTCACCAACAACTTATATGGTCATGGGGGGAAAAGAACAACGATGAACAGTTTACCTACGTGCAATCGCAAGTGTTTATGATCGATGCCATTATCACCGACAATGTTCCCTTGTGGACTGCGGCGCATAATTCCATGAGCCCCATTGGCACCACGCTGTCCACCTGAACCCTTTCCTTTCTACCTTTCCGCACCCGTACAAATACCTACGTGCCCACGCACACATGTATGCGTGTCTGTATGGTTGGATGGAGGCCTACTATGCCTGTTGCACTCGTGGGAGGGAATGCGCTTGGCGCGCATGAAAGCGAGAAAGAAAGAGAAAGAGAAAGAGAAAGAGAGAGAGAGAGAGAGTGGCTATATAAAAAAAAGCTGTATTGCTTTACACATAACTAAACAATACATTTATTTATGAGGTAAGAATGCAGCCATAATAGTAAAAAAAAAAAAAGAAAGAAAAAAA